GAAAGCCATGGATTAAGTGTGACATAGGCAAAGCATGATGGCATATACTCTGGGACGAAATGAGAAGACGCATCGCGACAGGTGGAAAGAGAATTAGCAGGGGGCGAGTGTGTCGAATAATATTGTAGTCTTTGTATATATAACTTTTGCGCAGTACTCCCAAACATGAGGTATCGAAAGGTACCGGTCGATTACCCAAGTGGACTGTTCCAGAAGCGTGGACGAGAATGAGTCGGGGGACTGTATATCGAGGCATGAGTGATTGGACAGCGTGAGCTGTATTGGTGTAAAAAAAAAAAGTCTAGTTCATCGGCTCCAGGAAGCCTTGTGATAATGGATGTGGCGTGTTGTCCATCTGGTCCATTCGGCCGATAAACTCCGGTATCGGGTGGGGGCAATGGATAATTTTCTGACTCCAAGGCTGCATTGCATGACTTTTATCCCCGTGCAGAATGAGAAATGTGTGCAGCAGTTTTCGTCTTATTGTCTCGGGATGGGACACACGGCTTAGGACACACAGCTCTTTGCGACGCAGGCAGGCCATTGATCACACGAAACGTATGAGTTGTGCCAGTCGGCTGTGAGCCTGTGACTGAGCAAACGCCGACCGCCAAAGGTCGCAAACTTTGTGCACAATTGCCTCATTGCGCAACGACAGACTGCCAAACTGACCGAGATGGGATTGCCTGAAGAGCGTTCCGGGAACGATAGTTCCAGCGACGGTGCGCCTCTCGGCAGGAGGGCCACGATGGAAGATTTGGCCAGCGCGAGTCGGGGTGTCGATGAGAGGAAGTTGGTCCGCAAGCTGGACTTGTATCTCATCCCGCTCATCATGGGCATCTACCTATTCAGTTTCGTGGACAGGTTTGTCCCCTGCCCCCCTTTTCCCTTCTCCAACGGGCTCCTCTGGTGGCTAAGCAGAAAGGAAACAGAGTCAACCTCGGCAACGCTCGCCTCTACGGGCTCGAGGAGGACCTCGGCCTCAGCACGTCGCAGTTCCAGGTGGCCATATCCATCTTCTTCGTGACGTACATGGTGTTCGAGGTGCCGTCGAACCTGGTGCTCAAGCTCTTCACGCCGCGGCGCTGGATCGCCTTCATCACGGTGTCGTGGGGGCTCGTCGCGACGCTCATGGGCCTCGTCACGTCCTACGGCAGCCTGCTCGCGTGCCGGCTGCTCCTGGGCGCCGTGGAGGCGGGCCTCTTCCCCGGGCTCAACATCTACCTGACCTTCTTCTACACGCGGAACGAGCTCGCCCTGCGCGTGGGGTACCTGTTTGTCAGTGCGGCGGCGGCGGGCGCGCTGGGCGGCCTGCTCGCCTACGGCATCGGGCACATGGACGGCGTGCAGGGCCTCGGCGGGTGGCGGTGGATCCTGATACTCGAGGGCATCCCGAGCGTCGTCCTGGGCGTGGTGACGTACTTTGTGCTGCCGAACGATGCTGAGACGGCGTGGTTCCTGGACGACGCTGAGAAGGCGCTCATGGAGATCAGGAGGAGGAGGGAGTATGGGAGCACCAAGGGCGGCGGCGGCATCGAGAAGAGGGATGTGCTGAGGGCTGTGACGGACTGGAAGGCCTGGGCTTTTTACGTTGCGCAGTTTGGGGTTGATACTATGCTTTACGGTGAGATTTCTTGCCCCCTGCCCCCTTCCCAACCCCTTTTTTGGCCCAGCTTGTTTTTGATTGTCTTTTTTTCTTCTTCTCCTTGGTAACTGTTTGGCATTCCGGCTTTGCTAATGCGTAGCCCAGGCTTTTCTACCTTCTTGCCGACAATCATCCAGGCGCTGGGGACGTGGACGACGGCGCAGGTCCAACTCCTTACTATACCGTGTTACTTTCTCGGCGCGGCGGCTTACATGGGCACGGCATTCTTGTCGGACCGTATGCAGATGAGGGGTCTATTTTGTGTCATTTTCGGCTCCATCAGCGTGGTCGGCTACGGAGTGCTGCTGGCGGACGTGGCGACTAGTGTGCATTATTTTGCGTGTTTCCTGGTGGCGGGCGGGTTGTATGTTGTTGTCGGGCTGCCGTTGGCGTGGGTAAGTTTTTTGTGTTTCTTTCTTTTTCCCGTCGGTCTCGCGGACATCTGGCTGAGAAGTATGCTGACGACTTAGTTGCCAAACAACTCGCCGCGGTACGGCAAGAGAGCAACGTCGACGGGATTGCAGCTTACGTTTGGCAATGCCGCCGGCGTCATGTCTGCTTTTATTTAGTAAGTCTCTGGCTGCTTGGCAACCCCCTCCCTCACTCTTTTTCTTCAACGCGTATTTATTTGGTATTACTCTTTTGGGATGTTGGCGAGCGTGGTCATGCTGACGTTTTACAAGCCCCAAGCCCGATGCCCCGAGATATATTCGCGGTCATGCTGTCTGCCTGAGTATGGTGGGCATGGGCACGGCGATTTACGGGTTTCTGTGGTTTTGGTACTGGCGGCAGAATAAGAGGCGGGAGGCCGGTGTGATAGAGGAGAAGTTTCGGGATATGGAGGAGGAGGAGTTGATGGAGCTGGGGGATGATAGCCCGCGGTTTAGGTATATGATATGATGGGGCTATTCGGTGTCGGTGATGAAGGACGAGATTCTCCCACCCTTTTGGCGGCTATAGAGGTCGCCTACTGGTGAGTACATGTATTGCGATGGATGCCCAGTGGTGTATATTCGCTCGAGTGGCATTTGCGTAATCGATAACCCGGCACGGATAGTTCACCGGCACATTTTACTCTGGCAGGAAAACCAATAAATGCGCGACACTCATCTCCCCAAATTGAGATGGCTCCGGGACACGCATCGCTGGCATCCGATAGATGGCAACGTCGATTGCCACCTCAACACGGACAAAGCCATAAATTGGAACCCCCATACCGAAGGCTATCTGCGGCTCGAGAATCCATCTCAATCTATTTCCCGGCCCAAATCTCCCCTGCGCCCTCGAGTCGAACCAGACCAGACCAGCCACGCAAGCCCACGCGCTCAGGAATTGATTGACAACAAAAACCACATGGCCAGCCACAGCAAAGGGGCAAGGGGGAAAGGACCAAAGCGGCCTTGGCACAAAATCGCCAGCTGCCGCCCGGAATTGGCACCAATTGTCTCTCTCTTGGAGCGTGGTATGTGGAGATGTCAAGGGAGGGAGAAGCAGACGCCACAACATAGTATTGCCCTCGGCGTGCCAGTCGTGGGTGAAGCAGACACGTAGAGAGCTTCTGCACCGAATAGTCGGTCTTTGACTGGACGAGGGCGCCGCGATCCGACGAGTATTGCATACCGTTTGCAGCGCGTCGGCCAGCGCAGAGAGTGGTATAGATATAAGGAGTTGACGGTTCTTGCGAGGATGCCTCCATTTGTACAGCCCAAGTCGAACTGACACACTCTGTTTTCTCCTTGTTCTCGATACGAAAAAAAAAAAAAAAAACAAAGTCTCAAACCTTGGTGAATTGAGATATCTCGCCGGTTTTCTTTTTCCCATGCAGGAAGCGCTCGCCCCCGGCTTCCTACAGTTCTCCCACGCGGCCCCCAAACAGACACCGAATAGACTCATCATGGCGGGGAAAATGGCCAACCTGTTCGCCCTGCTGATTAGCCTGGTTGGGCTGGCGCTGGCGCAGACGCAGACGCAGACGCAGATGCAGACACAAACACAGACACAGACGACGGCGGTTGACGCAGCCGGAACCATGGGCATGACGTCGACCGTCGCCATGACAGAGGCGACGACTACGGCAAGGGCATCCGCGTGGGAGAAGACGGACGGACCGGTGATTACGAGGGCGGACGGCAATTCTACGACGAGGGAGCGGTACACGAGGGAGCGGACGGGCCGGCCGACGACGACGATCCCCAACCCGCTGATGCACAATGCCGGGCGGAGGCCGTCGCAGCCGGGGCTGGGCAAGCTCTCCGTGGTGGTTGGGCTGGCTACGTACGGGCTGATCCTGATGTGAGGCCGCGGCTGGCGAGGAGGGCGTGAAAGGCTGGCTCTTTCGTGGCCCTGCGCAAGGGGGAGGGAGGAAGTGTGAGGTGAGGTGAAGTGAAGCCATCGTGGGCGGCGGACGCGGACGTGGCAGCGGCAGCGGCTTGTAAATTTCAGCGAAATGGTTGGTTCATGGGGCACTATGCCGTTTTATTTATTCAAAAGTACCAGCATCCGTCATGTTTGTGTGAACCGCGTCGGAACCGGTGACGGTGATTCGTAGACGGATACGACCAAGGGAGAGAGAGAGAGACAAGACACATCCATGTATGCAAACGGCTCCCCGAAAATCGTCGCTTGTCGACCTGTCGCCTTTGTCGGAGTTTGTCGTACAACCCGCGCAAAATAAGCTGCTGTTACACGAGGCAGGAATAAATAATAAGTAATAAAAAATGGCCGATTATCGGCGGAGTGATTCCCATCTCTTTTGTCGGAAATCACAAATTACGCATGGGCATGTCGATATGCAACCAGGGCCCTCCATCCCTCCATCCCTCCATTCCCCGACAAAGATCGCTCTGCTTACTGCCTCGGTAGGCCCTCTGTTTTTCGGGGTTGTACCGCTGTCTCTGGAGAGGTTCAACTCAACCTCTTGGGAACAAGACTCGTGATGATGCGCGGCCGACACGCTTCGGCGCTGCCTCTGACGGCGCTCCACTGGATACTGGTTGACAGGCGTGGCCGATGACACTTTGGATCTTTGCAAGAGAAAGCATAAAAAGACATGCGTAGTTCCAAGCTTGGGTGCTTGACATTGACGCTGTCTGTCTAGCTTGCTTCTTCACGATACCGAAAATCCCCCCATCTCACCACCAGGCGTGACCACCGACGAGAATAATAACCCCTACACAAAGACGTAAGAAAACACCGCCATGGCCCCGGTAGTACACGTCGTCCTCTTCTAGTTCAAGGACGGCCAGACGCCAGACCAGCGCCGCGATGTGAGTGCGTTCCTGTCCCAAGGCCCCTATCGAGACGCTGTTCCTCGCTGACCGCCAACCCTCGATTCTTCCTCCAGCTCTGCGACAAGATGCTCGGCCTGAGGAGCAAGTGCCTCCATCCCGCCTCCAAGAGGCCGTACATCAAGTCGTCCATGGGCGGCCTGGACAGGAGCATCGAGGGCTGCCAGGTAAGACGCGCCCGCGCATTTCTAAAGTTGCTGTGCTGAAACGAGCTCGGCAGCACGGCTCTACGCACGCCTTTGTCGTCGAGTTTGAGAGCGAGCAGGACCGCGACTACTACGTCAACGAGGATCCGGCGCAGGCCAGTTTCGTGCTCGAGGTGCTGCAGAAGCTGGACAAGGCGACGATTCTCGACTTTTCGCCGGGTGTATTTTGAGCGAGGACGTCTGGACTCTGGCGGGTGTGGGCAAAAAATCAGTGCAGGGTTTTGTTTTGTATGGAGAGATGAGATTTGGGATTCATGGGGCGGCGTGGTTGGCGGGTTGGGCGGAATCATGATATTTGAACTTGTGGCGCCAGCGGCTCGGCTGTTTTTTCCCTCTTTGTGTTTCTTTCGTTGTCAATGGGACTTGCACGGCGTGACGACGGCAATATGTATATGGACTGGACTGGGTTTATGATAGACGCATCATGTTGGTTTTTTTCACGGGTTATACCACGGCTAGTCTTGGCCACAAGTTGCTCAACGACGCTTATTTTGGGCTCACCGTGCATCTCAAACGGACTGGCTACATGTTTCCGTGGCTCGTTGATATGCTAGCTGCCACGGTTTAGAGAATATCGAGCGAGTCGCAAGAAAACACGAAGCCCAGACGTCCGCCGAGGCTGCACACCACGTACCTGCCCAATCATCTCATACATGGAACATATATTGTACTGTACACAGCTAACCGCTGAGGCCAACTCATTGTGTGGCGTATAATCGTATACATGAAGTTCTCCCGTTGTTGTTGTTACATGGACACACACAAAAAAAAGAAAGCGTCCTCCCCGCATCGCTCCCATGCAATCAACTAGGCACTACTTAACCTTTTTCCTCTCCAACATATCCTGGATATCCTCCTTCCCCGTGCCCTTCGCCCCGGCACCCCCATCCGGCGCAAACGTCGTCGACACCTCCATCTCCTGCGCGCCCTGCTTCCTCAGCTCGTCCAGCCGCCTCTTCTTCTGGATATCCGCCACCCGCCACTGCTTGAAGTACTTGACCCAGGCGGCTGCGCAGTCGCGCTCGAAATCGTCGCTCTGGCGGGGACACGCGCGCCTCGCCGCGGCGGCGTCCTTGTTGGCGTCGAGGATGTCGTGGGCGTCGAGACAGGCAAAGTATGCGTCGCGGGCGGCCCAGCACACCGCGCGCTCCTGGCGCGTGGGTATGGCCGTGCCGGAGCGGATCTCGTCGCTGCGCGAGGATGACGAGAACGGCCACCAGCTCATTGTGATGCCGGACGGGTGCGCGGGTGGTTTGTGTTGTATGGAGTGGTGGCGGCGGAGCCGAGGAGGTGGTTGGTGATTGTGCGGGATGTGCGCCTCTGTATCAGACGTGCTCGGTCATCAGCGTTCGATGGAGTCGAATTGGTTCTTCAAAGGAGAGAGCTGGCGGATGCAGACTTTTGGCCGGCAAAATATTGGGCGTGTGGATGATGTACTCCGTAACTGCGTATTTGCTCGTGATATGTGACTGACTGGTGGAGCTTTGCCATCGGAAGCTTTCAAAAGCTACGGCGAGAAGTGGCAGAATCCCGGGCGGTGAGCCAACAACATCTGCCAGCCCAGCTACTCTTCAACGGCCCACTGTAGGCACCGAGTTGAGTGCAGCCAAACCACATGGCTTGAACACCATCACAAACCCTCGACAATGTCGACGTCCTCAGGTGACTATCCCGCCTCCTGCCACGTCTAGATTCCGTTCTTCTTTTATTCCGGAGCGCACGCACGCAACATACATTTCGTCCTTCTACTACAGTCACCCGGATTCTGCCATCCTTTACCCCCACGACTGTGCATTCCAGGCCAAGGCAACCACATCGCGTCGCCTACACAAGCATCAGCGCCGGCGCTCTCACGTTTCTCCCGTCTCACCACCGCCAACTCTTCGGCTCACGCCTGATCCTACATATATCCCACCCACATCGACTGGGGCGCGCACCCTTCACCACGGCCACATCCCACCATGGCTCGGCGAAGAAAGCCCCCACGAGCCGGCGCATTATCTGAGCTCCAGCCGCTCAAGATTGCCACACAAATAGCCACCCTCCAAGCACTCTACTACACGACAGCCGGCATCCTCATGCTCTTCACCGCCCTGGTGGCAGGCATGAGCTTCAGCGTCGACATGATACTAGGATGGGACGCCGTGCGCGGCGACACAACCCAGGGCTGGCTGCTGTCCTTCATCTGGCTGATTGACGGCGGCCTCTGCATGTACGCGAACCCGCCCCTTTGCGAGTGCAAACTCGTGCCTCTCTCAAGAGTTCACTAACCCTCGGTTTTAGGGCCGTCGCCATCGTCGTCCTCATCGCGAGGAGCAAGCTCGTCCCCGACTTCGCCCTGACCATCCACCTCCTGCACCTCGTCTTCACGACCTTGTACGCGCGCTCCCTCCCCAGACACTCCATGTGGTGGATGACCATGATGGCATCCGCCGCCGTCGCCGTCGCCCTCGGCATGTGGGGCTGCCGCTACCGCGAGCTGCAGCCCGTCTTCTTTGGCGGCGGTCGAATCCTCGGCTCAAACTCCGCGCCGGCCGCGGCGTCCCACGGCCAGGTTGCTGCCGAGGAGGGCCAGGCCGGTCTGGACGACGACGACGATGATGGCCGCGGCGGCGCCGAGGACGACGGCTTCTCGCGCGGCAGGGGGAGGGGCCGTGGCAAGGACGGGGCCGGCGAGTATGAAATGGTGGGCATGAAGCAAGCAAAGGACTGAGCCGCCGAGGAACTCTACCGCCGTGGCTGCCCGACTTGTGTTTTTCATCTTGGAATAGCGTGCATTGCTCGGCGTTTGGATTGTCCCATAATACCAGTGTTTTAATAAACCGAGAAAAAAAAAGGAGTCAAGAGCGGGGGATATGGGCATCGTGGGGTTTTTTTTAACCTCCCACCTTTTTTGATGTGAGACGACGCAAGCGGAGCCATCATCTATAGAAATAATATCAGATACAAATGTCATTATTACTTCTGTTCCCCCCAGGTAACCGCTTCATAAATCCCTCTTGTGTCTGTTGTCTATGCCATCATATCTACTACGTGAGCAGCTGCACACCACGTCTTCGATGCCCCAGATATAAAATACACGCTTCCGCCCCTGGCTACCGGATTGTACAAAATTCCCATTCGTGCTTTATGCCCCGGCCACAACAGCCAGGTTATCATAGATGGCCCTCTTGACTTCATAGAGCGTATTCCTCCTTCCCACAACTGGCAATCCCACGCTCTCCACCTCGATTCTCCCTTCTGCGGTCTTGCGTACAGACACTGACCCGTCGATAACGAGGATACCTTCTCCTCTGAACTCGGCTCCGTGCCCGGATCCCTGCATAGCCCTTCGCAAGTCGGCAAGTCGTAAATCTCCTACGTGCAGAGGCTGCGCGGCCGTCCTGGCAGCCGACACGAGATTCGAAGGGATGACGTCGAGGACAGGCAGGACGCCCGAAGAGTTTGCGAGAGCCGTGGACGTGAGGGCCACGGCGGTGGAAGGCTCCGTCTTTTGGCGCTTATTGGAGGAGTCTTCATCACTGGGTTCAGTAGCCTCGGCCGTGGTATTGGTCGCGAGGAGCTGCCCACTGATAGTGACAATGGATAGGCCCCGTACGTTCTGCCACTTGAGTTTCTTGACGAGGGGGTCCGCGAGCTTCACGACCCAGGCGTTGGTGTCGACGCTCGCGTCAACCCAGACGCCGACCGAAGGGGTGAAGACGTCGACGGCTTTATCGCCGTCCATGCCGAGGGCGGCGCGGCAGTCTTCCGCGAGACTCATAGTCTCTTCGTGGTTGCCGCCGACGAGGATGAGTTTGCGGGGTTGGATGAGGGGGATGAGCATGTCTAAACTTCGGCGGTCGTGGAGGCCGCTGAAATCGACGAAGCCGATGCGCAGCTTGGCCTGGATCGTTTCAGTGGTATAAACCAGCTTGCAGGGACCCGCCGGCTCTTCGGGTTCTGTGTCTTCTACATCGTCTAGATCGTCGGCTGCATGGCCGTCTGCGCTGATGCCGTCATCACCATCTTCAGCAACACCCTTGCCAGGCTGAGGTCGCTTATTGGGGCCGTTTGCGCCTTTGATGACATCATCCCACTTTCTCTTCTTGCCTAGCTTGTCGTCGTCCAAAGCCAGATGACTGCCATCGGCATTGTCTTCATCCTTCTCTTCAGCTCGGAGATAGTCTTCGGGTCGAATCAATTCGCCAAAATCGTCATTTCTCTTTCTCCGAATGGCCACTGGGAAGCATCGCTCTCGACCCTTCTTGCCACGCGAGTCAAAATCGTAGACGTCCTTACGCTTGATGAGAATATTGATGCCCAGGTCTTCATCCTTGAGAATAACATTCTTTCGGCCTGCTTGGCCCAAGGTGGCTGAGACCGTCAGTGCCTTCCCTTGTTGCTGACCATCTTCGTCTTCAGAGTCTGAAGATGACTCTGAAGAGGCGTCATCGACAACATCAGTTGGGCCGTCAAGAGACCCAGCAGTGCCTGTCTGCTGGGTTGCTTGAAGCTGCCGTTGGGTAGCCAGCCACTGTTGATACACGGCAAGTTCGTCGCCTTCAAGCGCTTGCCGGGAGGCCTCGCGAATCTCCAGCTCTCGGCCACCTGCTTGGACTGTTTCGATATTGTCGCCGGTGCTAGTCTGCTCCACAGACACTCCGTCCTTTCTCTCCCTCCACCATTCCCATAGAGTTCTCGCTATTGAGGGCCTATCATCCTTGGCAATGGTCGGCCTATCCGTCAGTATGACAAGATTGTTTGGGTCCTTGGCAAGCCCCTTCAAGACGTCCTTGGAGAAACCCCACTCCATGCTCGTATCGCTTGCAAGAATCACCCGTCCCTTTGCTACCTCACCTTGGGCAGAGGCCACCTGGTCCAGAAGCTTTGAAACCTGTGCCTTTCTCTCCAGGAGTCGAAGATATTTAAAGTCAAATGGTCCGCCTTCTTTTTTTTCAACAGCTCCATTCGCCTTCCGTTGACCCTCGGCAAAAGCTTCGAATTCCTGAACGATGTTATCGTCCATCCATTCCAGCATGCTCCTGGCGTATCGCATGGTGCTCGACATGTTCCGGCCAGCAAGATACAACTTGGCCGAGGTCAGGACACCATTATCGGAGGCCGCGTCTGCTCTCCACGCATGTTCGAGAAGATAGGACAATTCCAGGACTCTGGCGCTAGAATCAACAGGTATCAACACGGTACCTCCCTTGGTAACACAGGTTTTGATCGTCTCGAGTAACTGTTCGTCTCGTTTGGCGCGGCCGGCAGTCTGTGCCGATTTCTGTGCACCGCGGCTGCTGCAAATGAGGGCTGTAGGCTTGCGAAGCTGTTCTATTACTTCGGCGCCGCCGCCTCCCGCCCCTCCAAGCCAGGCTGCGCCTGCAAAGACATTTTCTCGTGCCTGGTTCCAGTCCACCGCATAAACAATTGACTCCAAACCATGTTGTATATGCCAAATGGTACCTCCGAGAGTGTGTCCGGAATTGTATGCGGTGATGGTAAGCCCATTCAGCGGCGGTGAGAACGGAGACGGGAGAGGTTGGTGCGGTTGAGAATATTTGAGGGGTTGGATCAGGGAGAAGTATCGGGCAATCTGGTCGGGAGTAGGCGACTGCAACAGGAGGTTCTGCGCCGTGGCGGCTGTTTGTGTGTAGGCGTAGGCTATCTCGGATAGAGAAGTTTGGCGAATGGTGGTGGAGGCGGCGGGCGTTGAAGAATAGAGGTCTTGAATCAGAGATCGGCCAAGATCGATGACGGGTCGAGTCGCATAGGCGGGTATACGAGTAAATAATGGAAAGTTTTTGCAACAGTGGACGTAGGCAGCGAGATGGGAGGCTGTTGCATGGGTGAGGAGGATCAAGGAGAGAGTTGGCACTTGTCTGGCAAAAGGCAAAGTCTCGTTGTCAGCACGACAGATCAGACGATCAAGGATATATTCATGACTAGGTCGAACAACTCACTTTTCCAGCTCCTCTAGCTTCCCAAGGTCAAAAGTCTCGTCCCAGCCGAGACCGACGAGGACTTTGACTCCCCCATCAAGCTCCAAGAGTGACTGCGACGCCGTGGACTCGGACAGCGCGCCTTGAAGCGGGCAGAAGGTGAACATGGCGGCGGCTGCGGCACAGCAATGGTGCCAGAGCTAGAGGAAATGCAGCATACAGCGGGCTTGCTTACACCAGCATGCTCTGGTCTGCAATTGCTGCTACGGCGATGTGTCGTGCGACGGTGGTCAATCGGCACGGCCAAGCACTCGAAGAGCTCTAGTCGCGCGTCGGATCGGTTGCATGGATCTGGTGCAAGCAGCTTCTGGAGTCCAAAAAGCGATGCAGGGAGCAAAAGCCAGGCTGCTCCACCGTGGTGTCTCGTCGGATCGGCTAAACTTTGTCGCGTCACGTGCCAAAGCCGAATCTGATGCTGGTGCAAAATATTTCGCGTTAGCTGCCAACTGGCTCGTGGGGCCTCCTTTTCCATACAATTTTCTTAGGTAAGCAAGTCTCCACGAGCCGTTTCGCGGCTAAAGAGATAAGCAGTACGGGTACGTACCTTGCAACTCTCAGAGTCGCAGGTGCGGTGCAACGTCTATTGCCGACTTGCCGCCAGTGCATCCACCAGCCCGCCGCGGTCCGCTGGCTACCTGGGTGGGGGGACGCAACCTTCCATTGATTGGCGCAGGGCAAGTGCGATCCGCGGCCGTTAAGGAAAGAGCCGCCTAGGGACGATTTCCGACGGCCACAGCGCCAGATCCGATGGGCAGCCAGTCTCCAAGAATCATTTGGGCGCGCAACACAGTAGTCAACTCGGGATTTTTCTTTGTTCATCACGACCAAAGTTCCGATGGCTTGCTCGCGCTACCTGCGAACCTTGGTCTTATCAGTATGTATGTAAGTCATCGGAGTTGTGGGGATCCAAGCTGCCAACCGACCCCACTTGGTCCAACCCCGGATTCTTTCAGATTAATTGCCACCAGTAATATGTAATGTAATTGATGCCGTGTAATGTCTACATAAGCCTGGGCTTTGGGAGGGAGGAGGCAAGAGATACTTGGGCTTGCAACAATTATATGCTCATTGTTTGGACACTTGCAAAACCAACAAATATTGTCCTGAGCCGCCATACGGGCACGTCGCATAACTAAGCCCAGGCTCCACCTTCAACATCCGCAAGCATAATCACTATGAGTTTCGTTGCAAAGCCTGTCATTATCAGCGGCGCTGGAGTCGTTGGCTTGACCCTTGCTCACGGCCTCAAAAAGGTAATACCATGTCCTTCCAACGGCTTTACGAACAAGCCTGCCTGCCGATTGAGCGCTGCTGGCTCTTTGTTGCTGAATTCGCTAACTTTGCCCATTTGCAGGCCAACATACCCTTTGAAGTATACGAGCGCGACGACCACATCGACGCTCGCGGTCATGGCTGGGCCATTACAATTCATTGGGCACTACCGTTCCTCGTTGAACTACTGGACGACGCCACCCTTGAGGCAGTTGAAAACGTCCAAGTCGACCCAGAGGTTGGCCGCAACGACAACGGCAACTTTCTCTTCATCAACCTCGAAACTCTAGATTCCAAATTCCGCATCCCACCTAACAAGCGGCGCCGGGTCAACCGCGAGAAGTTGCGCAAGGCTCTCCTCCAAGGTGTCACGGACCATGTAAGATGGGGGAAACGGTTAGACAGCATTGAGCTAGCCAATGGTGAAAAAGGGGGCGTTCGCGCTCACTTCACAGACGGTTCTTCAGTAGAAGGGAGCATGATTGTCGGCGCCGAGGGGACCAACTCTGAGACAAGAAAGTTTCTCGTGCCGGACAACTACAGAAACCACCAACTTCCCGTACGGTTCATCGGTGCTGCGGTAGACATGACCCCGGAACAGGCCAAGCCTTTACGCGACATTGACCCTTTGCTCTTCCAGGGCTGCCATCCCGTCACCGGACACTTCCTCTGGGTGTCCATGATGGAGTCTCCCGAGGTAAACGGCACAAAGGGGACATATGACGAGCGGTACAGAGTTCAGATCATCACATCATGGATGGTCAAGAGCGAAAAGGACGAGGTCCCGCCCAGCGATGCCGGGCTTGTCGCCGAAATGAAGCGACGTGCTGCTGGATTTCACCCACTTCTTCGTCAAGCAGTCGAACAGATTCCGGAATCAGCACCAGCGCTGGAAATCACAATTCAAGACTGGCCATGCTTCGATTGGGATAATCGTGACGGCCGGGTGACGCTCGTGGGTGACGCAGCACATGCCATGACCATGTATCGCGGTGAAGCTGCCAACCACGGAATGCTAGACGCTTATAACCTCGTACAATGTCTCAAAAAGATGTATTCTGGCAAGGTATCACGCAAGGCTGCCGTTGACGAGTACGAGGAGGAGATGAGAGATCGTACGGGCGGTGAGGAAGGGGCTGTCATGTTGAGCCGACAGGCATGTTTGGATGCTCATGACTTCCATGGTTTGAATGAGAAGTCTGCAGTGTTGAAGAAACGAGCCATCAAGGCTAAATGGTGACTGGCATGTGGTTGATAAAGGCACAAAGGACTGTTTTTAATATGAATGGTTTGACCTACGGCTGAACTGGATGCACCAGTTCATAATATTCAGATATATGTATCGTATCTATCATGTATATTTTACGAGGCACTCAAAGGATTTCGATGACAGCAATTTTCTTCATTCCATTTTGAGTAGTTGTGAGTTCATAAGCCCTACACATTTCCATCAGCTCACTTACACCACGGCAAACTGAAAACAACAACAAGGAGAAACAAATACGTGGCTGGCATGAAGACACGTCTCCCTCAAAAAAGACTCATCAGGACCCACAGAACTATACACGAGTGCCAAAATAGGCAATAGAGTATATAGTCGAGACTCGAGAGCACTAGATGAGTGAACTTTGTAAGATGCGGCCACCTGGCCTCCGATACACGCACTCCTCCTTACAATCCGATACCTTGATGTCGTATGCCTCCTCGAAGATAGCAGCATGACGATATACATTTAGTCTCCATGACCCCAGGAGATTCCGAATTTGCCGACGAGAAACTAAAAGCACCGGCGCATCCGCGATTCATCGCCAATCGCCAATCGCCAGCTTATTCTCGAAAACGTAAGACCCCTTGCCTAGCCCATACCCGGCAATACCCCCAACTCCACCTCGAAATAACGCAATTGCATAAACTTTGCTGAAGCGTGGCATGCCACCTTTCCAACTTCTTACGTCATAGGGGCCTTGAGAGAAAAAAAAAAAAAAAAAAAAAAAAAAAAAGGTCGTTCGTGGACTGCGGCCGCCCCCGCGTCATCACCAAAACGACCAACTGCGCGGGCGGGTAGCTGCACGAGTTTCGCAACGGTCAATCCTATATTTAGTTGCGGGCGATCCTCTCATTTGACGATGCCCGACGTCCTGTAAAGGGCCCCGGGAGCAGGCTGGGGAGGCTCGGTCCGCTCGTGAGAGGATTTTGCAAGCGCCGCGTTCTAGGTAGCCCAATTCATGATCTCATCATCCGATTAGAAAAAAGTTACATTCCACCACGCAATCGTTGCTGAAAGATACATAAATGGATGACGCATCATCACCTTTGTATTTGGCTCTGCGCCGACTCTGCACTCTGCCACAACTGTACCATGATTGAAAGTGATTGCCTCTCTTGGCAGAATCCACCTTGCCTCAATGGGAAATTTTAAGGTTTCGATCAACTACTTTGATATGTTTATAACAGAATGGGGTTTAACTTGGGATAAGAAGACTGCTTCTTGGGCATGCTTAGCTGTCACGTTCAATTGCATGACTCCTTTCGTATGCATTGCGTGGGTCAAGATTAGTCAAAGACTTTTTTAAAAAATCGCGCCTTCAACCTTGATAACTTAGATTAGACGCAGTGAACCGGGATGACGGGTATCTGCAGTCAAAGGCAAAAGGTACCCTCTTCTGCCTGGCCCCTGACTATCAGCTATGACAAGACGGCTCGTAAGAGATTTTTATTGGATACATTAGACTTCTGGAGATTGGTGACGATTGAGGACCTGGCTTATCATGGCTGCGCTGTCACCAGAACAAGGGGCCGCGCACGTAGACATTTGACCAGGTCCGGTACCTGGGTATCACGATCCATAGTATAATATACTGTAGTATAGTAGTAAATACTCCTTAATGGGTAAATTTATTCTGCCAGACTGTACACGCTCAACCATAACCCAAGCAACGCTATTCATGTAAGCTTCAAGACATCATACAAAAAGAGGGTGCGCCGGCCTCATATCCAAATATATAACAGAGAATAGAATGTCCCAACCTTCCCAAGTCCCGGGCTTAAATACAGAATTTCTTGTCCAGCATTCGTAACGCTCTAGCATCCTCGCTGACACCGCATTTCTCCAAGGCAGCATTGCTTATCCGTGGGCTGCTACTGCTGGAGCCATTGCTAGCAGGTTTGCTACTAGAAGAGTCGCTAGCAGGGTGGAGCAGCGCTGACAAGCTGGATCTGTGACCACTGGGAAAGCCACTGGGCAAACCGCTCTCGTGGGAACTTCTTGGCGGGCTCACGCTGTGATTTCGGGTCGGTGGTGTCATGCCTGGATGTGGGATCGGCGCTGTGACAGAGTTGAGTGCTGGCAGCGGTCCATGTGACCCCAGTCGTTCCCTGTGTCCGGGAGAGTCTTGGAGTCTAGGCGGCGATGCTCCCCGTTGGTATGCTGGGATCGAGGCGGGTTTGGACTGCGGCAGGGGTGGAAGTGAAGGACGGTCGTAGTGTGGCGGCGGTGGTGCGTGAGTATAGTGAGACGCCGCATATGCAATAGGGAGTTGCGAAGAAACCTGGGTCATGTGAGGAGGATGAAGAGAATGAAGATGAGTACCCGGCGGGAATGGAGCCGGCGCGTAATGTGCGTATGGAGGAGTAGCGGCAGGCGATGGTGGCCATCCGTATCCCTGCTGGGCGTAGTGAACATAGGCTTGTTGGTGGGCGTGGGCGTGGTGAGGAGCAATCATATACGGCTGTTGCATCGGTGCCCGGGTTAGAGCAGGAGTCTGGTTCGTCTCGCCCATACTTGACTCTGGATACATCCCCTTTGGAGGGGCGATTCCTCTAAGAGAAGGATCGGAGCTGGGTTGAGGGAGTTCAGGCTGGCCTGGTTGAGGGCGCGAGTAGTATGAAATCAGATGAAGGTGTTGGCCAGTTGAGGTAATGATGCTGAAAGACTGCTTCATCAAACCGTCGGCTTTGTATCGATAGCCCTCAGGCTCGCCGTCATCATGGTCCTCGTCGCTTCCACGGCCAGAATCAGGTGTCTTCCCGGCGCCTCGTCGTCCACTTCCAAATCCCCCCCCTCGCTTGCCTTCCATTTCACGATAGGTCAAGAAGCTGCCAGATACACGACTAGCACTCCAGGACTTTCCATCAGTCCACCGCCTCATGCCAGCTTCCCTCTCGTCCCATACAAAGACGGAACCGGAGCGAATCGACTGCCTCTCCTTTTCAGAAAGCCGACGCTGTACTCTGGGTAGCAGCCCCAGCCGACATGCCTCGAATAATTTGATGGCGTCGCCGGGAGTACGCACGAAGCCGTGGTACGTCTCCATCTTGTCTGAACTGATGGAATCCGTTTTGACGGTTGTTAACCGTACCTGCTTCCGCAGGACGTCAAACCTGGGGAGAAAATAGTCAAATTTGGCGCAAAACTACACCAAAATGGGGTTCTGGAGAAATGAACTCGAGGCGAATCACTCAAGTTTTTGAAAACTTGGTGAGTACCTGAGCCCAAATCGACGCAGCAGGCAGCCAACCCTTTCAGGTTAAAAAGTACCGAGTGAACCGAACCAGTCGAGCCTAGGGAGAGATTGATCAGCATCAGGGCAAGAGACTGGCATAGTGTCAAGCTCTTGGGATGATGAATAAAACAAAGAGTATGGCAGAGTATGGCAGCGACAGGAGTATTCCAGACAGGTGACAAGGTGGTAGGTAATGAATGTGGGCGAGGCAGCAGGGAGACGAGCTCTCTTATGGGTGGTGCCAAGATGCTTTCTGGGCTACGACGTCAAGCAAGAAAGACCAGACGCAGCAAGCGTGGAACCCGCCATGCCGATGGCGGCCCAGAGCGACCGTGAAGTATATTGAGTGGGAAGGTTTGCCGTCATCTTGGTCCGTGCCGGTAAAGTTGATCTGCTGAGATCCACTCGGCCTAAGTTTCCCTTCTTTGCTGTCAAGGCGCTGCCCTTTGGCGATGTGCATAACAACTTGAGACGAGAGGATCTGCCACCATGCTTCTTAAGGGGGGCTGTGGGAGACGTCTTGGCAGTCTCGTTGTAACCTTTTGAGTCCACGGGAGTGGACCACAGGCGGCCAGAGGCGATGTTGGTAAAGTTTCCTGGTACACCGCGTGCCTTGACTCCAGTCCACACTTGGGGCGATACAAAGCTTGCAGCCGGACCAGAAAACATTTCTTGGTGTCGCGGTTCCCGATTGAGAGCATTTCGAATCATGACTCACACACAAGAGATGCTGGGCCCAGGGAGTACTAACACTATGTTGAATGGCTTGGGTCCACAGAAAGATAGTTTGTGCGCCAAAGTGAGACGTCGGTCCAAATGAAGGGCGCTTCATCTCATTATGCTCGTGTAAGAAAAGCAGAGGTGAATGAAAGCAGGGATCCAAATCTCATTTCGCAGGCCCGACAAAAATTCATTGCATAAATGAATCACCGACGACTTACCGGCTAATTGCTCTTTATACTATAATATATTATAGTATGTTCGTGTACACTTTGTAATGGGTAGATATGTTCTGCCACCGATTATGTAAGCCGATAATTTATTCAACATAAACTGAGAGTAACGTTGCTGCTGTTGTCGTCGTTGTTGCTGTTGTCGCCGTTGCTGCTGTTGTCGTCGTTGCTGCTTTGCTTTTGCTGTTGCTGTTGCTGTTGGCCGCCGCTTTGAATTGTTGCCGTGAAAAAACATAAGGGATGCCTATCAGGATTTAACGGTAGCTCTCACACAAGATACCTCTAAGGTCGGTCAAGAGACGGATGTCAAAGATTACCATGAAATCAAGGAAAGAGATGAGAGAAGCAGGAAAAGGCGAAGAAATAAGGTTGGGGCAAGGCGCTGTGCGTGACGTGAGTGACGAGCAAGGGACAGGCAGGCCAGCGATCAACGTGAATAAGTGCCATGGATAAGTCGGCGCCGTACAGCCGAGAAGGGGGGTGGCATGGCAGGGGTCATAAACGCTGGGACTACGGAGGGGTATTTGCGAGGAGACAGTGGCGTGGGTGCAGTAAGGCAGAGAGGAAAGGCCGAATAGCGTGCTCTCAGAGCAATATGTGTCCTTCCCGCCTGCTTCCCGAACTTCGTGTTCTACCAGGCTTACCACGCCTCCTCCAGGCATCTGGAGCTGGCGGTGACTTCCGGTGGCTCTGGTTGCTCGGTGGTGCGAGCGCCTCGCTGTCCCAGTTAATATCCCACCCTCGGTTTGTGCGAATAAATATTGCATCTGCTGTACGGAGTACGGAGTAGTATAGTATGTATGTATGTACAATACTCCATTCAAATGTACGGAGTAGAAGGGCAGACAGCGCTAGCTTGGATTGACTGGGGACGCCCTGTTCGTCCTCCGAGGACAAGCTTTTATGGGTCGTTTGATGGAGTCAATCTGGCTTGTCTGGCGCAGCTATTGCCAAAGAAGCAGGTGTGGCGTCGCCCGACCAGCACGCAGCGCATCAGAACGCCATTCTAACAACACACTAATAGTAGTTGCTGGTCGTCTTGCAATCCATTAATTGATAAGCGCAGCACTCCGTACCCCGTATTCCGTACAACTTGGTGCTCGATATGTGTACAGTTTGTCGACGGGGAGGGTTTGCCGAAGTGCCGGCCAAAGCTCCTGTTGGGAACTTCGGAACGGCATCAACGGCAAAATAGGAGAAAGCCTATTAGCATAGGCTGCGGAGCAAGGCGCCAACTTTCCCATTGCTAACCCGAAAGTCGGGAGTACTAACTCACCTGCTGCAAGTACCACCCAAACCATACGATGTCATTTTTGGTATTCGTGGTACGGAAGGTCGACTCTGTTCGCCAAAAGGCGTACGAAAGGACGAGTCTTTTGTCTTCTATTTCATCCTACCGGCTTGACCGCAAGTCGCCCGCCGTGGCTTCCAGTTCGTGAATGTCATGGTTGCAGATAAGTTGCCTCCAGGATCCAACATTTGGTGCTGTTGCCATCCATATCTTGCGAGCCTAATGACAGCATTGGCCTCTTCAGCCGACCCAGGTCCCCTACTTTGTGTCCCCAAATAAAGAACAGGCCAAATCAGCCTCCAATGAACAGTGTGGTGGCGGCTTTCTCAAACCAGACGGTTTCGTAGGCACGCCGAATTGCAACGGTTAGAGGCCTCCTACACAGACGTTGGTCCGACAAGCAGTAAAACAGAATATCGCAATCCATGTTCCAGGGGGATTGTCAGGGGAGGTTGATCTGGAATAATGATTGACACCGCGAAAGCTTGAACCGTGCCGCTCGGCCGAGCCAAGAAACCAAAGACGGGAGAGTCATCAAAAAGCCAAGAGCTCTGACGTCTATGGCCACTTCCACGGAGTACTACTACTAGATAGAGTAGTCCCATAGCCAGATACCACGACTCAAGGTTGTCCTAATAACTCGCCCCCCCTCCCGGGAATAACAGAAGCTCGTTGATTATTCCATGTCGGGCAACGCTATGATTCAGACACTGGACAAAGTTCTTTTGTACGACTACCACGTCAAATGAATGGGCCCAAGACTCTAGCCCACTGTAGAAGGACAACCGTGGATCGGCTCGGTGAACCTTCATCGCTGGGAAGGTGGGGGGGAGTTGGTGACGAAGCCTCAATCAAAGTTCCGTTGCCGTCCGCCATGGTCTGTTATTCAATCTTCATCTTCATTCAAGACGTGGTTTTGTCACCCGGCTTCTTTTTGCCGTGATTCTGGCGACGTAATATTGGGTGGGTGTGTTGCCGGTCTTGGTCTTGATGGTGGCACCCACCAATCAGAGGGCGTTTGAACGGCACAATAAGGTCATAGGTTACCCTCCTAAGCTTAATTTTTCCTCTAGCCTGTTGACGAAAGGGGCTGTCGTTGTTTGGAACCACAACCTGGCACAAGGCTGCCTGGCTGAGACACGGCCGCCATTGGTCAGACACAAGCCGTGGATACATACATTTCTCTCTCTGTCGGGAGTGCGAGTGCGTATGGAGCAACCACGGAGGTTGCCCGCGGTTCCCGTGGCTGGGTTATGGCGAGTCTCTGGGTATGTCGGCACTGGTGGAATTGCTTGGCAACTCCAGTTCTCCGTAAAACGGATAGCAAAGCTTTGTATCATAGGAGATCCGCTTTAGCCGGATCTAGAGTGGAAGAATTCTCCCAATTTGTATGTACTTCGTGGGCACGGTATTAATCAGTTATGCCGTCGTCATGATACGTTGTTTGTCCTCTCCAGGTGCGGATATTGCGGACCAACTGGGTTCCAAGGTTTAGGATTTGATATGCAGCCGCCGTCTCTCCGTATCCCTTATTGCAGACGAGCGCCATGCTCCGTACATGAAACCATGTTCGTGGCCGTGGAGCAAACACTGCATCAGCCGCCTTTCCGTGCCGGTTGCCACCCGACTTAATCGCGCGTCCCAGTGTCAGCTCAACGGCCACTCTGACAGAGGTTGGCTTGTGGCGGCCACGCCTCTGGGTAAGTCGGCACGCAAATTGTCGTCACGCCTCGCAGATTGCGCCAGCCCAAATAACTGAACCTGCAACTAGTAGTCGCACAAGCTCGAGCCGCGGCAGAGCCACATGTGTGGTTGATCGTGCCTCCATGTTATTAAACTGTTGCCTGTACAATTTGTATGCGAATGGCCAAGCACCACCCCTGGGGTGGTCGCTGATGGAGAGCTCTAGAGAGACCGTTGAGATGGGCGGTGAAAGGCAAGCTGTCATCTTCGAAGTGAAGTCGTTTGGGCGAAAACCTGCCGATAACGTTGTATTCAGCCCATATCTCCAGCTCTAGTAGAAGCGCTGGCTCGCCGACTTCAGCTGCTTAGGGGCTCCAGCATTGTTGGCAAGCATCAGTACAGCCAACTGCTCTATTCGCATATAGCGTTCTTCGGTTGGCGCTCCCCTGATGTCGTGCTGGATCCTGCGCAGGATCGAAATCGTGGCAAAGAAAGTGATTAGGTCAATAGTCACTGTTGGTCATCCAAGCAGTCTGTGTGCTATCCAACTCCTGAACAACGTTGGAGGAGTTCCTTCAAGATTTGCGGCGGGGTCTATTTGGTGCATCGCGCCTTCCTTTGCTGATGCTCGCACAGCCCTCGTAGCCATCGATCAGAGGCCGTCTCTTCCGGAAGTCAAACATGCAGCTCTCTTTTCACGAAAATATATTGCGACGTCACGAAATGCGATAATGTGGCCTCCACATTACAGGCAGACATATTTTACTGGTATTGTCTCTTCAACGATGGAATGCGAGTCGGTGCAAGAGCCACTTCATCGAGACAGCACGGAGCATGTCAGCTGCAGTGACTGACAGACGGCACAAGAGTGCCATCATGCTATA